CGAAGCCGGGGGCGATGATCTGGAAGGTGCCAGCGGCGGCGGTGGAGACGGTGGTGACGGCGAGCGCGCCCCAGTACACCAGCTGCGGCCGACCCTCGCCCAGGTCCCGCACCCGGCGCGACAGCCCCCGCTGCAGCGCCAGCTCCGGCCGCGGCGGCAGCGGCTGGCCGGGCCGCCGCACAAAGGTGCTGTCCTGCCGATGCCAGGTGGGGGCGGAGGGCTGCTGGAAGGGGGAGGGGCCCGGGGCGGCGGCAGTGCCGACAGCTGCGCCTGCGTCCGCCTGCTGCCCGCTGGCCTCATCTGCCTGCGCAGCCAAGTGACTGTCCTCTGCGACCTGGCCACTGTCTGCTTGCTGGGGGCACGAGGTGCTGCCCTCGGCGCTGATGCGACAACACTTGGGTGGCGCAGGCTTGCCGCTGCCCTGCCGCCGCAGAAACTGCTGCTCGCGGTCGCTCCGTCGCAGCCGCCCCGCCCTCGGCACCGCGCCTGTTACCCTCGCCGCAGCATCCACTATCGCCGCGCTCACCAGCGCCAGCAGGCTGACCAGCAGCGCCAGCCGCAGGGCAGGCAGGGGCGGCGAAGGCTTGACCTGCAGGGACCGCGGCTGAGCGGGTCACGTCGCCTTCAGTCGCCAGGCAGCACCGTACGCGGCTTGCGCGTGCACTGCATCACTGAGCCGGCAAAATGTTCTACCGTAGCCCACAAAAGGTTCGTGGGTAAGTAAGTCTCTCAGAGGGCTCAAAGTCAATTTGGAGGGCCCACGAATGCTCCGGAGGGAGTGTTCCCCGAGCCCCGAGCCAGCCTGGCAGTGTTTTCGCTCCTCTGAGCAGCCAGAACGCACTCGTCTGTGGGGGTACGGTTCGGGGGAGAATTATGCAAGACCTCCCCCAACGCAAACGCCTTTGCAAGTCCCGCTACCTGCAACCAGCGATCGAGGACACCGAAGAGCGCCACCAGTGCATGACCCAGTATGGCCACGCCCAGCCACAGCAGCAGGGACCGTCCCGCGTGCCCCCCTGCCCCCCCCGGCATCCTGCTGGGCCTGCGGCAGCCCTGCCTGCTGCTGCTGCTGCGTGCTGCTGAGTGATCAGGGGTAGAGCGATTTGCCCGAAGAAGAAGAAGATGTGACCAAACACGGGTGAAGCAATGTCGCAATGTTGCAGCGCTTTATCCAAATTGCCACAGCAACGCGCCGCGTGTTGCTCAGTTGCCAAGTAGGAAGAGCGCCTGCAAGAGGGAGGGCTGCGAGACGTGCCAGCTGGCGCCTGCAAGCATGTGCCAGCTGGCGCCTATGGAGGAAGGGGACGCGCAAGCCAAAAACCGCAGAGGCCGACCGGAATGAATCTCTGGTGCTGTCCTCGCTCGCTCCTTCAACCGCTCTTCAGGCCAGGAGAGCAGCGGCCACCGCTCACCGCCCCTAGCAGCATCCAGTCATGGCCCGGCTTGCTCTAGAGGTCGTAGTGCGACCTGTGAAATCGCAGCAGCAGCTAGAGGAGTTTAAGAGCGTCACCGCCGCTTACCTAGGTGCTGGTGCTTCTGCGGCCGTGTGGGTGATGCAGGCTTCGTCCTGATTTGTTGCATCATGTCAGTTGCCGGCGGCACAGCACCATTTGAGTTTGCTGCCCTTTGCCACCACTCCGCCACTGCCGCTGCCCTTCAGTGAGTGGATTGATCCACTCACTGCCCGACTGCCCTTCTTCCGGGCTTCTGTTGAGCATGCAGAATGGTTGGGAGAAGACCTTGGGCTCCTGGGGGGCATTGAGCGCGAGCTGGCAAGCCTGCCTGGCAGCTATGCCGCCGAGGCGGGGGGCAGCATGCTGCTGGCGTATGCGGCGAGCGGCAGCGGCGAGGAATGCATCGGCGCCGTGGCGCTACGGCGCCTGGCCGGGCACACGCCCACGCTGGGCGAGGGCGACGCGGTGGCGGGCGTGCCGCTGGCAGAGGTGTGCGAGATGAAGCGGCTGTTTGTGCTGGAGGGGCACCAAGGGTTGGGCGCTGGCGCGGCGCTGGTGCGGGCCCTGCTAGCAACGGTGCCACTCCTGGGCTACCGCCTTATGGTGCTGGACACGCTTGAGCGGATGTCGTGCGCCATTCGCTTGTACAGCAGGCTGGGATTCCAGCCCTGCGAGCGCTACAACGACTGCCCGGTGCCGGACGTGCTGTACTTTGCTTTGCAGCTGGGGACAGCCACGTGAGGCAGCTTTTGCCAGGCCACTGGTACCAAATGTTTGCAATGAACCGTTCTTAACCTTTCTCTGTATCTATCTTATCTGTATCTTTATTCGATGACTAGCACTGCAATCGCACCGACCACCTGCTTTCTGTAAACGTCTGCCCTGTCGTCATGGGAATGTTACAACACCTCAACCCCCAACTCACGCAGCCGCCTCTCCACCTGCGCCAGGCAGGCGCTGTTGGCATCCAACTCTGCGGCATGTGGCAGTGCTGCTTCGCCATCCAGTTGCTGACAGCCATTATGGAGGTGGCGCTGTTCTGCCACGAGGTCTCGAAGCACCGCCGCCACGCGCTGGAGCCTGAACATGTGATGCCAAGGGCTACTGAGATTGCAAGTTTTGAGGCCGATGTATCCATCATCAGCCACCATCCTAGATGGGCAGCTCTGATGCTCGCTGCCGCTGCCTGCTTCCTCTCTTCCAGCTGCCATTAATGCCTCTTGCAACTGGCCTGGTGGTGCTCCTTCATGGCGCGGGGAGCCGCCGACTGCTGCTAGCTGGTGCAGACTGCGCCGCGCGATACAGCGCAGCAGTGTCCCAAGTCCCGCATAGTCCATGCCCGCGTTGGCCGCCAAACTTCTCTGAACCAATCGTTCAAACTCAGCCAGGCTGCAGGCAAACATGAAATGGTAGCAATTCAGAAACCTATCGGCCTCTGCCAAAATGACCTAGCTTCCTGAAAAAAGGAGAGGGCCGGTCTTGCCTGCAAAGCTCCCGGCAGTCCTCGATGCCCTCCTCAGCCTGCCGCCGTTCCAGTCGCAGCAGCGCCCACGTCCAGTGCACGTTGTGGCCATTGAGCCAGTTGTGGTTGATGCTAATACAGTCGTCGACATTCTCCACTGCAAAAATATCGGGGGCAGTACCCAACACGCAGATGTCAGGAAGCAGGTTGGAATGCTTCAGCGGAGGCCACGCTGCTGTGGGTTGGCAGGTGCAAAGAACATGGCATTGGGCCTACCCGTATGCCACCAGCCTGAGGGTACAAAAATGGCGTCGCCCGGATGCTGAACCACGGTTACGATGTGCGAGCGTGCCTCTTCAAGTCGAGGGTACAGGCCTGCATGCACGAGAAAGGGCCGGTCATTGCACAGGGACTGCCACTGCGACGTGGAATGCCTGACATGCATGCCCCCCCTCCATTGTCACGCCTTGCAGCAGCATAGAGGCCTGCCAAACGCTGCACCTTCAAGGTCTTCTGCAAAGAAATCCCACGCAGGGATACGACCATGGAGGTCCAGCAGCAGGTGGCTGTACTGCAAGCGGGGGACAGAGGCAGCAGGTGGCTGAAGCAACAACAGGGATGCATGCCCCTACTGCCGTCAAGTTAGGGGAGCCCCACCTGGGGCGGCAGCAACCGCCACAGTTTGCATCCCACCACATTAGCTGACCAGCTGAAGCTGCGCAGCACATCTGAGTGCAGTGAGGTGCTGGTGCCCTGCAGGGAACAGGGGCAGCCACTGGCCAGGTGCTCCATCGCAGGGGCCTCATCGATCGCCTTTTTTTCACCTCCAGCTACCTCACTTCAGCCTCCTACCTTTGCACCCAGATACACAAACCGATAGTCGGCTGTCCTGACATCGTGCTGCGGCTGCGGCTGCTCACGGGCATCGTACAACTCATTCAGCCAGTCGTCAAAGAAGAAGGAGGGGCAGCGGTAGGCTTGATACTGCGGATCAAAGGCCGCCAAGTGCCAGTCCTTGCAGTACCACAAGGGACCAGGAGTCAGCAACGTGCTGGATGCCCTTGTTTCCTCCTCCTCCTCCTGCTGCTGCTGCTGCTGCTGGTTGTGCTGCTGCCACCAGTCAATGTACTCTGCCAGCAGCATCTGCCGGCAGGGCCCGCTCCCCTCGTGCTCTCTGCGTGCACAAGAAGCCCGTTGCAAGAGGGGAGTCATCCCGCAGCAGCCTTTACCTGCTGGCTGGCACGCACTCGCACCTGGCAGTGTCTGTGACCATGACCTGCGCATGTCCAAAATGCTGCCGCAGGAAGTCGAAGTCGATTGCGCCACATGGGGTAACCCAGTCGACTGCTGCCCGCCAGCCCTCCGTCGCACCCTCAACAAGGACCGGGGCATTTGGCTCCATAAACTCCAGGCAAAAACGCGCATAGCTCAGCTCTGAGGCGGGGAGGCGGGGAATGGAGCTGGTCTCGGCGGCGGGCGCCAAGCCGGGCTCCGCCGGCGGCGGTGCGCCGCTGTCGCCAGCGGTCAACACAACCTGAACGCACATTCGCGATCGATCTATTTCTCGCCATTCAGTGCAGCGGAGCATCCACACGACAGCACGCCATGCCAACCTCTGTAGTTGCAGCAGCAGGCCGAGAGAGGAGCGTGCGCCAGGGTTCGTGCATCTGCGGCCAAATGATGGATAGACGAGCGATGCCCGGGGGGAGGGGCCAGGCATTAGGCAGCGG